GGAGGGAGGGAGGAGGATACCGTGATAGTCTCCGGGCCGAATCCTTGGGTCTCGTCGCGATCTAGCTTGACCGTCCCGCTGAAGCACTCCTTGTTGCGGAAGTTGACCTCGCATGGCTCCCTGTTGGCGTCCTGGTGCGGCGCGAGCATGTAGAAGTCTTCGTCCTTGGGCTGCCAGGGCGTCAGGCGGAATCGCTAGAGGAGGAGCAGCAGCTACCTGAGCTCCCCAGGTGAGGACGAAGCGACACTCTCCCGGCTTGAGGAGGGGCGAGAGCGCAAGGTTGATGGAGGACTCGATCGCGATGTCGCAGAACCTGCCAACGACCCGTTTGAGGGGCAGCAGACGCGGCTCCTGCTCAAGGGCCTCACCGTGTGTACGACGCCATCATGCCAGCCTGGAACACGACGCAAGTGTACTGCTTGCCTCCCCCCAGCCGACTCAAGGACACAGTCGCCTTTCCGTTGCTCATCGTCACCTGCTCCTGCGCATCAGCTGAAGCTGCAAGGCAAGACAAGTCCCACCTGCTGCACCAGCGCAGCCCCGTCGAGGATGTAGAGAACAGGTTCTGTCGCCATCGTGTATCCCCGCGCCAAGATCCCGTCCGAGCAAGTGGAGCCCTTCCCAGCCGTCTTCCCGTCCACCGCGTTCATGGCCGTTACCTTGGTCCTCGAGGGAGAGCCCACGACAGGCCCGGGCTGAGCCTCCGCATCACCGATGAAAGCGGCTTCACCGGTTCCCACCCACATGTGCTTGGAAGGGTCCGAGTTGGAGCTGCGGAAGGCGAAGGTGAAGTCGACCCGGTCGCCCTCGATCAGCTTGCTGGGGACGTAGAGGCCCTGAGAGTTGAGGCAGCTGCTCCCGTCGCAGGGGAACCCTGACCGCATGTTGTTCTGGTAGACCCCCAGGTCCTCCCCGTTGACCGTCACTTGGATCGTGTCGCTCCTGTCCCCGTTGACCGCGTGCAGCGTCACGTACATCATCCACTTGCCCGCATGCGGCAGCCGAATGGTCCCAGTCAGGTAGCCTGACATGCTCGAGCCGAGGATGATGTGGCCGCCATCCTCCAGCAGGACTCCTTCCGAGCTTGTCTTGCCCCTGCCACCATCGTCAACATAATCGTAGTCTCCAACAACAACAATAACATATCATCATTATCATCATCATCATCAAGAAGAAGAACAACAACGACATCTTCGTCATCAAGAACAACAAGAACAAGAACATCATCATCATCATCATCATCATCATCATCATCATCAATATCATCAGTCTCGCGCATCGGCAGCTCCTTCTCACTCACCACCAGAAGTTCAGCGGCTCAGGAGGAGGCGTCTGCCCCGGCTGCAGCGGCGGCCTCAACGCAGGGCTGGCAGGAGGAGGAGCAGCGGCAGAAACAACAGGAGGCAAATTTCTCTTGAGCTCTTCGATGTCATCGTGGATCTTCTGCATGCGACGCTGCGCGTTGTCGAGGCCGGCGGTGGCGTTGTGATGGAAGGAGAGATGTAGCTTCTGATCTCCTGAGACCAGCCCCACCAGCCGCTCTACAAGAGCCTGCACCTCCGCCCTCCACTGCGTCACTTGAGTGCGCAAGGACGAGACCCTGTCGTCGCTGGCCTGGAAGGAGGAGGAGTCCTTGCTCCGAACCTCCTCGTACTGCCTCTCCAGGTTCTCCATCTGCTCCTGCAAGTTGTCAAGACGAGTGAGCGACGCGTCCACCGACGAGACGTCTCGCTGCAGAGCGTTGGCGGAGTTGAGGACGCCGTTGGCCCCCTGCTCCTCCTGCTGCTTCGCTACGTTGATGTCTCGGTGAAGATTCTGCAGCTTGATCAGCATGCCGTTCGCCCAGGTCGGGCTGGTGCCGTTGAGCGAGTTGATGGCCTGCACCCTCTTGTTGTACAAGGTTGCCTGCTGGCTCTTGAGGTCATCCAAGATCGCGTCCTCCCGTCTCAGCTCCCCAGCTGCGTCCGTCCTGGACTCGTCAAGACGAGATCGGATCGACTTAACCTTGTCTTTGAGCTGCTCCTCAGCTGCACTGAAGAAGTCCCGGATCTGCTGAGAGAAATTGCGTGTGATCTCGTTGATGTTGACGTCGGTCATCCTGTCGAATGTTGCGAAAGCCGACTGACGCTGCAGCTTGAAGGAATTCTGCAACGACGTCACGTTCCTGACCATGTCCCCCACGTTAGCCCTGATCCCACTCATGTTCGACTGCATCTGCCTCTGCAGCCCATCCACCTGCGTCTCCAGCTTGTTGAAGGAGTCAACGAACTTGCTCCTGTCATTGTTATCTTCGCGCTGAATGTTATTAATCTGCATCGTCACGTCCTGCATCGACTCCCTTTGAGAGTCGCTGTACTGCTGGAGGTCGCCAGCCTTTGCTGTAGTCCCCTGCTTCATTGTTTGGTCCCAGCTCTCCTTTTGCTGGTCGATGCTGCTCTTGAGCTCCTTGACATCCTCCTCCGACGAACTTTCGATCTCACTCTTCATGTTGCGCTGGTCTGCACCGCCTTCCGCGTCGATGCTCGAGAGCTTGCTGCCTGCCGAGTTCTCAAAGTCTGTCTCGTTGGTTTGCAGTTGGTCGAGCTCGTGTTGCAGCAGCCCCTCCAGTCGCTGCTGCTCGTTGAACAGCTCCGTGACCTTTCGCGTACCCTCCGAGTCGTCCAGCGCTTGTCGCGCCTCCAAGCTTGTCATGTTGCTCTTCACTTCGTTCTCCATCGTCGCTGCCTTGACTTTCATCTCGCTCACCTTCTCACTCAGCGACGTCAGCTTCGCTGTCAGGGCTCCTCGGATCCCCGACAAGGCGTCGCCGATCCCCCGGGTCGCCTGCGACTCCAGTGACGTCAGCCCGGTGGTGACGTCACTCTCGATCAAGTTCTCGTCCGCGTTGTGCTCCTGCCGGATCATATCCTCCGCCATCTCCAACGCGTTCCGCGCCGACGCCAGCTTCGAGTTTGCCGCGTCCACCTGGTGCTGGGCGAGGGAGGTCACGTTCAAGCTGGAGGTCTGCAGCAGCGATTGAGCGGCTCTAAAGACGCTAAGGACAGTCTGGAAGTTGGCGGACGACTTGCGTTGGAGCTCAGCCTGCCAGGGTTGTGAGGAGAGGAGGAGATGGACGGATCGAGTGGGGAGAGGAGGAGAAGGACGGGTGGCTGACCTTGGCGGTCTCGAAGGCTGTTCGAGCAGCTGTAAGGCTCGTTGACAGTTTTTC